TTTTAACTCCTTTTTTCCTATATAACTTAAAAGGCAAATGCATAAAGCAATAATTATAAATCTATGTTAATAGACACATAATATATAACAATGTAGCCTGTAACAAAAATACAAAGGAGGATGTCTTGGCAAGGTGGCTCAGTTGATTGGAGCATTGCCCCATGCCCCAAAAGTTTGCAGGTTTAATTCCTTTTCAGGGCACATAACAGTTGTGGTTTTGATTCCCAGTTGGGGCGTGTACAAGAAGCAACCCATTGATGTTTTTTCCTCACATCAGTGTTTTCCTCCCCCCTTCCTCTCTCTCTAAAATCAATAAACATTGATTTTTATTATTTAATCAGGTGAAAATTTAAAAAAAATTTGTTTAAATGGGGAGGTGAGATGGAGATAATATAAGAAGCAAAGTATTACAGTAAGTCATTATAAGATATTAATTTTGATTCTTAAGGTAACCAATACAAGAATACATAAAAGAAAAAAGGAAATCAAAAAGGTATACTGCAAAAATCAGCTAAATGCAAAAGAAGCATGATAGAAAATTGAGGAACAAAGACTCTACAATGAATATAGAAAATAACTAAATGCAGAAGTCCTTCCCTATCAGTCATTACTTTGTTATGTTGATCCCAGACTATTGATATTGATGCTAATTGGCTAGGAATGCCTGAGGCACTCACCTCATCTGTATTACTCATATGTTGTGGCTGAAACAGCTCTTGTGGTTCTTATGATTGTAGGATGTCTTCTGCAAGAAACTATCAGGGAACTTTTATGAACAAGAGTATTACTCACAGGTCCTGGAGGATACATGACATGTCCAAGGTCCATACAGCCAGGTCACAGGGAGAGAGGGAAAGAGGAAGAGAGGGAGAAAGGGAGGGAGGGAGGGAGAAGGGAAGATGGGGGAGGGGGGGGATTGAACTTGCGGTTCTGCCTTTATTAGGTTCCAGTGGTAGGGTGTGTAGATTTTGGAAGTTCACTCTTTATTAGGTAATTGAGGGCATAATACCTAGAATTAGAGCACAGAAAAGAGAAGCAGGGTCACTGAAGCAGTCAGCTATTTAGGTTACCCAGGGCTTTGTGAGAGAGGGAGCTTCGTGAATGGGGCAGCCTAATTTTTTATTTAGTTGTTTTGCTAGTAACTGCATCATGCAGCTGACGATGTAGTTTTCGAGATGGATGTCTTTTGAAATGGATGGCTTGACAACCAAACCTTAATGTCCAGCACTTATACTATAATCAAAAAGCTTCATATTGGGTACTTAATTACATGTTATAAATGTAAATGGACTTTAAATTCAATTAATTTCCAATTAAATGCAGAAATTGGCAGAATGATTAAAAAGAAACACAATCCAGATTCTGCAAATCAAAGACATTTTAAGAAACAAAGTTGGAGGACCCACTTTTCCTGATTTCAAAACTTACTAGAAAGCAACAGTCATCAAAACAGTGTAGCAGTGACATAAGCATAGACATGCAGACCAATAGAATAGAGAGCCCAGAAAGAAACTTTCTCATATATTGTCAAGGTTTTCAACAAGGGCGTTAAAACTATTCAATGGGAAAAGGACAATCTTTTCCACAAATGCTGCTGGGAAAACTGGATGTCCACATGCAGAAGAATGAACTTGGCAGACCAGTTTTTCAATATTGTTCTGGGAGTCATTCTTGGTAGTCCAGTTTAGATCCTCCTCCATCTTTCCATTGGGTTTGTGAAGCACTTAATTCCGCAGATTAAGCTTCTTGCTGCTTAAAATAACTAGAGGGCTTTCTGTTTATGTAACTGAACCCCAAATGATGATTGTTGAGTGTGAAATCCAGGCCACTGAGCACTAAATCACTTCCTGATGGCAAAACTAGCCCAGGTCTTTATGTCTCTCCCTGCCTAATTCCACTGAAGTAACTAAGAAAAATGAGGAAGAGAATGTGGAAGAGGGGAGGAGGAAGAGATAAAGTTGATAGCTGCACCATAAACTAGGGCATGGTGCAATCATGGGAACAAAAGCTATGTGAAATTTTTGAAAGATATTAAGCCAATGAAATTGAATTGAAGAAAGTTAATGATAGCGATGCTAAATACTCAATGCAAATAAAATCCAGCTCCCAAAAAGTCTTTGGATTAACTGTAGATTATGAATATCTGGGTCAGTAGAGGGAAAATTGAAGGACTTCAGTTTGAAAATTATGAGAGGGCCCTAGACCTGGATTGTTGTCCTAGGCATTCTCCTCTAGGCTTTATTTTGCTTGGATTAGTCATTACGTAGAGTGGTTTTACCTGACATGTTTCTAATATGTGAAATAAGACAGGGGTTTAAAATATCGCTAGGATTTTTTATTTATTCAGGTATAATGAAGCCAACAAATCAGGAAATTCCATTGAAAAGACAGTTTTTCTACTCACAGTTCTCAAGAATAGAGGACATGTACCCTGTTTAATGCAAGGCCACACAGGGAAGCACTAGAGTTGGTTGAGAGGCAGAAGCAATGAGGGGATAGCATGGACACTGGCCGGCCTACATTGTGGTTTCTGTGGGAAAGGCAAGCTAAGCAGGATAAGCAGATTGAGGGTTGGTTAGTTTGAATATGGAACTACTGTTCCAGTGGGGCCCTAGAGGCAAACTCCTCTGGGGGTCAGAAGACCTCTGTAACAACTGTTCTATCTAGGAACCTATTTCATTAACAAAGACTGGGAGAAAATAATAGCAAATGACACATCTGATAAAGGACTGTTATCCTTGATATACAAAAGCTCTATAAACTCAACATAAGAAAATAATCTGATTAAAAAGTAGGCCAAAGATCTTAACAGACACCTTACCACAGGAGATATACAGAGGACTAATAAGCACATGAAAGGATGCTGCACATCTAAGTCTTCAAAAAAATGCAAATTAAAACAAGAGACCTCTACACACCTAAGGGAATGGCCAAAGACTGGAACACTGACACCACCAAATGCCAGAGAGGATGTGAAGCAACAGGAACTCTCACTCATTGGTGGTGGAAATGCAAAATGATACAGCTGTTTGAAAACAGTTGGAATATTTCTTATAAAACTAGACATATTCTTACCATGTGATCCAGCTATTACGCTTCTTGGTATTTACACAAAGGACCTGAAAATTTATGTCCACATAAAAACCTGCTCATGGGTATTTATAGCAGCATTATTCATTACTGCCAAAACTTGGAAGTAGCAAAGATATCTTCCAGGAGGTGAATGGATGGATAAATTGTACATCTGCATAATAGAATATTATTCAATACTAAAATAAATGACTTATCTATGAAAAGACATGGAGGAAACTTAAATGCATGCTGTGAAAGAAGCCAATCTGAGAAGGCTACCATATGATCCCAACTATATAATAATCTGGAAAAAATAAAACTATGGAAACACTAAAATGATCAGTGGTTGTCAGGGGTTGACAGAGGGGAGGAATGAATACGCAAAGCATGGAGGATTTTAGAGCATTGAAAATGCTCTGTATGATACCATAATGATGGATACATGTCATCATTCATTTTCCTAAACACATAGAATGTACAACACCAAGAGTGAAGTGTAATGCACACTATGAACTTTGGGTGACTATGATGTATTGATGTAGGTTCATCAATTATAACAAATATATCACTCTTGTTGGGGATGTTGATAATGGAGGAGGCCATGCATGTGTGGGATCAGGAAGTGTATTAGAAATCTCTGTACCTTCCACTCAGTTTTTGGTATGAACCTAAATACTGGACGGGTAGATTTAACAGTTAACATTTTGTCTGGTACCTGGTCCATGGACAATTAGGACAGAGGGATAGTGGCTCAGTTTAATGAAGGAGGTGATTGAGGGATTTGGCTCTGGACTAGTTGATTTACATTTGGGGAATTTGCTCTCCAGAAAGAGGTTGCTTCTTTCAGAATTAGCTAGACCTGGGAAGCGTAGTCTGTCCAGGATCAACAAGGCCCCAGATGCCAGAGCATCAAGAATACAGAAAATAAGAAAATACAGTTAATATATAGAAAAAAGAGAAGTATTCCAAAGAAAACTTAGAGTCAGTAACTTTTAAGAAACTTGCACATGCACCAGAAAATATTTGTATTTGCTTCATGAGTCCAAGCATTTAATAACTTAATCAGAGTATGTACATTTTGAGAGCTATTTAAGAAAGTTTTATTGCTCTCTATAGATAAATAACTAGGTAACATTGTGCTAGGCACCATCCTAAGAAATTTATATGTATTATTTAATCTCAGCAATGCCAAGCAATTGGGTGTTAATATTAATCCCATTGTAGTTGGGGAAACTGAAGCTTAAAGACAGCAAATATCTTGCCCAAATTCATGCTGCTAGTAAGTGGGATCTGGTATTTAAACACAGTTTAGTGTTTACACTAAAGTGATCTTACAGTTCAAACTTGTCATTCTTCTCTGCCACCTCTCTACCTGCAATAAATTTTATAACGAGTAATTATACATATTCACAAAGGCTTTGGACTGAAGTTCAGCTTAACATGATAGTTAAGAGCATGTAAATGGGGATAATGATAGTATTAACTTTGTATGGTTTTTGCAAGGATTAGTTAATGTAATGGACTTAAAACAGTGTCTGGCAACATAATAAGCACTTAGTAAATGTTAGCCATTGTTGTTACATGAGTATATTCTCCCTTATAAATGTTTAAACAGTATGTGAGAGTTTGTTTGTTCAATGTCTAAATAAACTCTCTATAGCTATGATTAAGACCTAGTTTAAGTAAAAATAAATTTAAAAGTTAGTAGCTAACTTATTTTACTTGCAATATCCACAATAACACAAATTCCCATATAAACAGAGAAATTGGCATTATAACACCATTACTAGTTATTCTATGATTCATTAAAGTTTTTGATATGTACTGACATTACATTCAGTGCCCTAAGTTGTTACTGTATATAGGAATGATCTTAAGAAAATAACAATTTTCTTATGTGACTTTATTTCATTTTTTTTTTAAATTAGAGAAAAGCGGTTACAGGAATGGAGAGCTCTTAAGAAAAAACAAAAATATGGGGAGTTAAGAGAAATTTCTGGAAATCAGTATGTGAATGAAGTCACTAATGCAGACAAAGATGTATGGGTTATAATTCACCTTTACAGATCCAGGTAATTCCTTTTTTGCAAAATATTAATATGTTAATGTTTTAAGATACATATTTCTGATTTTAAGGGTTTATAAAGCATATAACAAAGAGTGCTCACAAAAAGGACATATATGTATATATACACACATATAGTAGAGAATCATTGGCTTCAGGGATTAAATTAGGTATTTTTAATATATTTTCTTGTCTAATTTAAAAAACTTGTCACATTTTTTAGAAGAAATAAGAATTCTTTGGCAGTTAGTTTAAATATAACTTAATGGAGCCTTGTCCAGCACAGAAGCATGACACTTTATCTTAAGTACTTTAGCATGCACTTTCAAAACATAGGGGCATTTTTCTATATAACAATAATAACATTTTCTCATCTAACAAAATTAACAATAATTCCTAATAGCATCTAATACCCAGTCCTTATTCAAATTTTCCCAACTGACTTCAAAATGTCTTTTATAAATATACATATTTTTAAGCAGGATTCAGTCGAGGATCAGGCAGTATATTTGGATATATCATATCTCTTGTCTCTTTTAACAGAACAATTCTTGCATTCCCATGTTCCCCCCGAAACAGTTAATTTTAGAGTGCCTAGTTGTACTAAGTATAATCCATATATCTCCCTGCCAGTTTGGTATAATGATAATTGGGAAGACTGGACTTTTCCCCAACTCTGTGCCAAAGAGGAGTTGCAAACTCCTGTAGCTTCATAAATCTCTCACAGAAACAGCTCCTCTAGTGTAAGGACCGAGGCCCTCTGTCTGGGCTTCGGGCCAGTCCAGGAACAGAGGCCATGACAATAGCCCTCATTGTCCTTATTTCATTCTCTGAATAAAAGATGTCTTCTCACTTCAAGTTCTTAGAGAAATTCTGTACAGAGCAGTTTATGCAAATTAGAGCCTTGCTGTTTACCAGATCTCCAGTTCCTCAGACCCCATGAAAAAAGACATTATTTTTACTATAACTAAAATGCTTGGTAAATAATTTTTTAGTATTTTAGTCTTTAAAATAATAATTTCCCATTTTCCTATTCCACTTATCTAGCTAAACTAATTTGGAGATTTGCTGATTTTGGTTCTTCACAAATAAGTATGTGAAACAGTAACACTTACAATACTAGGATTTGTGTGTCAGAAATGTTATATACTGAAGATGTCCACACTGAATGTCTTTTTCTGAGACCTGTAATCATCAGCAGAATAGATGTTGGTTCTGAATTACCTACCATACCCTGGTATAAAATTATTGTCATGATTATTTCTAGATCAATTACTAATTTTGACCAATAATTTTCAAAAACTCATGGAAGAGGTTGAATGCATTTTAGTCTCAAGGTTTTACAAACTATCTAATGATTTGATGAACTTAAAGAGGATTCATTTGTATAATATTTTAAATATTTGTGAACTCAGAAGGTATTAGTTTTTGTGAAATTAAGAAAATGCATTCCTGTGTCAATATAAGACATATACTTTTAAGAAAATTAATCTATAATCAAATTAGTAAAAGGTAAAAATTATGTTAAATTTTTAATTAAAGTCTAATTTTTAATATTGGATTTACTCATAACTTTTGTACTATAAAGTGAAATATAACTATTAAGTTTCTATTTCTAGCTGCCTTTTATAATTACAGAAGAGTAAGAGTTTGCTTTTTTACCAGGTTCCTAAATTTTATAATTTTAATATTTCTTTGCCATGAAATTTATAGACTAGGGCATACACACACACACACACACACACACACACACACACACACACGAGTGTATATATATAGTTTCTTTTATATATGCATGTATAAATGTATATATTTATATATAAATCTCTATATAAAAAGTATATATATGTGTGTATATACAGATATATATCTGGGCTGTGAAGGATAAAGAGTATTTATTAGAAGGGGACAGAGAGTTGTAAGGGACTTTTTAAAAATTTACTAACTTGAATGTGTTTATGTAAAGTGGAGAAGGAAAGATGGAGAAAACAGGACAAGAGGGAAGCAGAATAACAGAATTAAGTCCCATAGGAAATGGAAGAATTTTGGGATAAAGCAGAAGACTAGCTTCAAAACATTTTAATAAAGCTATGAGTGAACAGGAGAAAAGTGACTAAAAAATGAAGGTAATGGGAGTTAAGTGATAAAGCAGAAGACTTGCAGGATTTGGTCGCACATCCAATCAGTTTTAAATTTCTAATGATGAATACTTCTGGATTATGGGGAACAGGATGTGGCATGGAGTGAGATGTTGAAGAAAATTGTGGGTGATATTTGTTAGAGTCAAGAAACTCAAGGAAGTTTGAGATGAGGGATTTTAAAAAAATTATATTTTATTGATTATGCTATTACAGTTGTCCTGATTTCTCCCCCTATGCCCCCCTCCACCCAGCACCCCCCAGTCCCTCAGGCAGTCCCCACACCATTGTTCATGTCCAGGACATTGTTCATGTCCATGTCATGTGTGCAAGTTCTTTGTCTACTCCATTTCCTATACTGTACTTTACATCCCCATGGCTGTTCTTTAACTACCTATCTGTCCTTAATCCCCTCACCTCTTCATCCATCCCGCTACACCACCCTCCTATCTGGCAGTCATCAAAACATGGATTCTCTGTATCCATGATTCTGTCTCTGTTCTTGTTTCTTTAGTTTGTTTTTTAGATTCAGTTGTTGATAGATATGTAGTTATTGCCATTTTATTGTTCATAGTTTTTATCTTTTTTTTTCTTAAATAAGTCCCTTTAATATTTCATATAATAATGGTTTGGTGATGATGAACTCCTTTAGTTTTTCTTGTCTGGGATGTTATTTTTTTGCCCTTCAATTCTAAGTGCTATCTTTGCTGGGTAGAGCAATCTTGCCTGTAGGTCCCTGCTATTCATGACTTTGAATATTTCTTGCCAATCCTCTGTAGCCTGAAAAATTTCTTTTGATAAATCAGCTACAGTCTCAGGGGAACTCCCGTTCAGGTAACTAACTGCTTTTCTCTTGCTGCTTTTCAAGTTTTCTTTTTATCTTTAACCTTTGGCATTTTATTTTATTTTATTTTATTTTTTGTAGTTTGTAACACTTTTATTAAGAGTGAACAGCATTATCAGTATTTCTAAATTGTGAACAATGGGAACTGAACTATCAAAGGAAACACATTAAGAATCATATATAATAGACAAAAACCCTTCAATTTTCCTACTGCCTTTATACATCAGTGTGTAATATTTAAGTATAACTAAATTCCTTATTAAGCAAACATTTTTGCACATGCTGCCTTCTCTTTTTCTTTCTGTGCCTTTATCTTTTGTTTGACTTTCAGCACTTCTGCCTGGATAGCTTTCTCTTCTGGTGCTATCTCCTGAGCTTTCTTAAGATCATCCAATGCTTGGTCGTATTCTTTTAATCCTTGCCATCCTTGAGCTCTATGGTACAGTGCTTTGGTATTTGATGGGTCAATTTCAAGAGCTGCAAACAACTGTCAGTTGGTCCCTGCCAATTTGACATTCAATGCACAAGCACTAATATTCAGGATGCAGCTTAAAGCTACAGGTTGCAGCTTCAATCTCTCTGCTTACTCAGTTAACAGCCTTTAAACCTTCCATATATCTTAAAACCTTCGAGTATTTTTTCATGGCCATCAACCTGTTTTGGGATTTGAAAAAAGTACTTCCAATGTTTTTTAAGTCTTCTGTTATTAATAGTATTTTATCTACATCTTTTAAATCTATATCTGCATCCTCAGGGAAGTCTGGATGCCTGTCACCAGAACCATCTTTTGGGAATATTCCCCAATCATCCCCTTCCTTCAGTTTTCCGCATTCTGCAATAATGTACAATTTGGCAGGTTTTTCACATTTCACGTCTCTGTTTTCCAGAATTCTTGCCATACTCATTCCTCTAATTACTTGGCCAAATACCACAAGTTTCCCATCCAAATGAGGAGTTGGAACTGCTGTGATAAAGAACTGAGAACCACTTGTATTGCTGCCTGCATTTTCCATGCTCAATAAACCCTCCCAGTCATGCTTATAATAGAAATTTTCATCTTCAAACTTTTCACCATAAATACTTTCTCCACCTGTCCCATTCTGATTTGAGAAGTCTCCACCCTGAATCATAAATTTCTCAATAATTCGATGGAATGAGCATCCTTTGAAATGGAGAGGTTTTCCAGTGGTGGGTACAATGCCTTTTTCTCCTTTATACAATGCATGAAAATTTTCTGCAGTTTTGGGTGCAATACCTGCAAACAATTCTAAGACAATTCAACCAACTCGCTCGCCTTGATGTCCATGTCAAAGAAGTCTTGGAGGTTACTGGGGTTGGAGGGCTTAGCTTTGGGGGATGGGTATGACATTTTGACTTGCAGACACGTTTGGAAGCAGGTTAGGAGCACCTCGTAGCCCTCTGGTAGCTGAAACCAGCACCTTTGGCATTTTAATTATGTGTCTCGGAGAGGGCATCTTTGCATCCATCTTGTTTGGGACTCCCTGTGCTTCCTGGACTTGCATGTCTATTTCTTTCAGCAAATTAGGGGAATTTTCTATCATTATTTTTTCAAATAGATTACCAATGTCTTGCTTTTTTTTCACCTCCTTCTGGCACCCCTATCATGTGAATGTTGGAATGCTTGAAGTTGTCCCAGAAGTTGCTTACACTATCTTCTTTTTTTGGATTTTTTTCTTCTTTTTCTGATTGGTTGATTATTTCATCCTTATGTTCCAAATCATTAATTTGATTCTTGGCTCCATTCCCTCTACTGCTGTTTCCCTGTAATTGTTCTTTATTTCAATTAGTGTATCCTTCATTTCTCACTGGATCTTTTTTATGCTGTTGAGGTCATCACTAAGTTCCTTGAGCATCCTTATAACCAGTGTTTTGCACTCTACATCTGATATTTTGCTTCTCTCCATTTTGTTTAGTTCTTTCCTGGAGTTTTGTTCTGTTCTTTCATTTGGGACATGTTTCTTTGTCTCCTCATTTTGGCAGCCTCCCTGTGTTTGTTTCTATGCATTAGGTAGAGCTGCTATGACTCCTTGTCTTGATAGTGTGGCCCAATGTAGCAGGTATTTCGCAGGATCCACTGGCACATCCTTCCCTATCACCCAAGCTGGATATTCGAAGTGTGCCCTTCGTGTGTGCTGAGTACACCCTCCACTTGTAGTTGAGCCTTGGTTGCTGTTGGCAGGTCAATGGGAGGGATTTACCCAGGCCAGTCAACCGCAAGGACTGGCTATGACCACTGACCACCAACCTCTGTCCTCTGTGGAGGATCAGCTGCGCAGGGGCAGGGTGGTGTTGCCCCAGCAGGGACTGTAGCTGTCCATTGGGTATGTAGGCTCTGGGGTTTCTTGGTGCGGGCCAAGATCAGCCCCCACCTGCATTCTGCTCTGGGCCACCCTGCGTGAGCTATAAAGCAATTTGAGATGGCTGCTACTTGTGCTGGGTTTGGAGATTCCCAGGTGAAGCCATGCTGTGAATATAGACTGGCTGCTGCTAGGACCAGGCCTGGGGCCACTTAGCAAGGGGTATGGGGGTTGGGAACTCACTGAGGCCAGGCTGTTGCTTATTTGAAAAGATTTAGGAAGTTGTGAAGCATGACCCAAGACCAGCCATTCACATGGAAAAGCAGCTGTTAACAGCTGTAAATTGGATGGGACATAGCCTCAGGGTATTTCCAGGGTGGGACAGTGTTAACCAGATTGATAGAGTCTCAGGTATGGCATCAGCCTGCCAGCTCCGTGGTTCTGTGGTAGGACGGTTCAGAAAAGGGACAAGGGACTCTGCCTGCCTTTCTGTCTGGGAAAAAGCTGTCCCCCAGCTCTTGCTTTATTGCCGGACACTTCAGTTCCTCCCTGTATGCCACTGGTACTTTTCAAGCTGCTACCCTGGTGCTGGAGCTCAAAGGGAGCGGGTCTGAATAGGTTGGTCCCTGAGTAGGTTCTTTAATAGGAACTGCTTGGGACTCTAGAAGTTTCTTCCACCAACTCATTCCTCACTGGTTTTTACAGCCAGAAGTTATGGAGAACCCTGGGTCGGGTGGACTGGCGTGGGGCTGGGACTCCTCACTTCCAAGATATCGCTCCTGAATTTTTATCCACCACATGTGGGTGCGGGACAATGTTGTTCCGTGTCTCCACCCCTCCTACCAGTCTGGATGGATGTGGTTTCTTTAATTCGGTAGTTGTCAGACTTCTGCTCACCTCAATTTCTGATGGTTCTGAGTGATGGTTGTTCTATAATTTAGTTGTAATTTTGATGTGGTTATGCAAGGAGGTGAGCCCAAGCATTCTGACTGGAAGCCCAAGATAAGGATTTTTGGATTCGATCATCTCATGTGAAAATAAGCATGTGATGATGACAAGAGCTTGGATCCCTTTGTTTCCACGTTGAACTGCCATAGAGTCCCTAGGAGTGTTATTTATTTTTTCCTTCTATGTCCCTTAAACTAGGAACTGGCTTGATTAAATTGATGCTAAGTCAGACATGCTTAGCTTTAGTTAGGCATCAAATTCCCATTGTAGCAAGCTTTATTCCCAGACTATAATGGTGTTTGTAATGAAAATCAAAGAGCTCTACAGTTTATCATTACTAAAGGTAACAATAGAGGATGATAATTGATATGTTCTTAGATATTATGAAAAGAATATTTAAAGATATATTTTCGTCATGAAGATGTTTCACTTATTTTGTTAAACTGACATAAGTAGCTTTAAAAAAAAAAAAAGATATTGTGTGTACTGTTTCTCTTTTTAGCATACCAATGTGTTTGCTGGTTAATCAGCATCTTAGTCTTCTAGCAAGAAAATTTCCAGAAACTAAATTCGTTAAAGCCATCGTGAATAGCTGTATTCAACACTACCATGACACTTGTTTACCAACAATTTTTGTTTATAAAAATGGTCAGATAGAAGGCAAATTCATTGGAATTATAGAATGTGGAGGTATAAATCTCAAGCTAGAAGGTAATGATATTATTTTTAAAATTTGTTTGTAAAAAACAGGTAAAAACTTGACTAAATTAACAAATATCATGAAAGTTTATATCCATAAAACATAAGGTTTTTCTCTTTCTTCCAGCTCTTCTTGTATGCCTCCAGATTAATTTCCTCCAATAATAACCTTACCATAACACCAATTTCCTGATTTTTACTTCCCAACTGAGTTCTCAGGCCATATCATTTATCAAGTCATTTCTCAGAACTCCATTAATTTCTTATTATAAAAATCTTTTTCTCTTACCATCGTGTTAAAGTCACTGTGAATATTTGTGTTTAACAGCTAATTTATCCACTCTTTTGTTCCCTTAAAGCTGTTTTTGGCCTTAGAGACCTCCAATACTTTAATTGTTCCAGAATTACCTCTTTCATTCTCCTAGTCTTCAAGGCCTCTCTTTGTTTTATCACCCTGTTTTTTCAGCTTGGACCTTATTCCTTTATTTAAAAAATTTAAAAAATAATAGAAAAAACAATAATATAGCAATCATTCATGTAATTACTAAAAATAACCAATGTGAACATTTGTTCATGTTTGCTTCAGCTATTTTTTTATTGCTAAAATAAACATTACAAATATAGTTGAAGTTACCTGTATTTCCATTCCTGGTACCATTCCTCTGTTTTCTCCCGAGAGGCAATTGCTATCATGAATAATGTGTTATCTGGTCCATGCTTTCTTTTTTATTAGTATATTAAATTTTTTTTAAATTGTCATAAAATATGTATAATATGAAATTTACCATCCTTAATATTTTAAAATACATAATGCAGTGTTATTAACTTTAGTTACCATGGTATACTTTACACATCCAGAACTTTAATAAATAAGTTATTTAACCATTTTGAAGTATATAGTACGGTGGCATTATGTGCATTCACATTTTTGTGCTATCATCACAATTATCCATCTCTATAACACTTTTCATCTTGCATAATTGAAACTCTGTACTAATTAAACAATAACTTTCCTTTCCCCTCTCCCTCTAGCCCCTGACCACTACCGTTCTACTTCCTGAATTTGACCACCCTCAGTAGCTTGTATAAGTGAATCATGTAGTATTTGTCCTTTTGTGACTGACTTATTTCACATAGCACAATTTCCTCAGGGTTCATTTATGCTATACATGTGTCAGAACGTCCTTCCTTTTTAAGGCTGTATAATATTCCATTGTATGTTTATACCATCATTTGTTTACCCCTTTATCTGTTGATGGATGCTTGGGCTTCTTCTCTCACTTCGCTATTGAGAATAATGTTGCTATAAACATGATGTACAAGTAAGTAATCAGTTCTAGTCCCTGTTTCCTTTTTTTAATTGTATTTTATTGTTTATGCTATTACAGTTGTCCTCACTTTTTCCTCTTTTGCCCACTTCCACCCAGTCCCCCTACCCCCACCCCAGGCAATCCCCACACTGTTGTTTGTGTCCATGGGTCATGCATATATGTTCTTTGGCTACTCCCTTCACCTTCTTTCATCCAGCACCTCCTTCCCTTCCCCTCCCACAGCTGTCAGTCTGTTCCATGTATCTGTATCTCTGTTTCTATTTTGTTCATTAGTTTATTTTGTTCATTAGATTCTACATAGAAGTGAGATCATATGGTATTTGTCTTTCACTGACTGGTTTATTTTACTTAGCATAGTAGTCTAGTCCCTGTTTCCAATTTTTTTTGGTATATACTTAGAAGTAGAATTGCTAAATCATATGGTAATTCTATTTTAATTTTTTGAGCAATAGCATACTGTTTTCCATACTAGCTGTACCATTTTATATTTCCGTGAACAGAGTACAAGAATTCTAATTTCTCCATATCCTCATAAACACTTGTTATTTTCTGGTTGTTGTTTTTTTTAATAGTAACCATCCTAATGTGTGTGAGGTGTTTTCCTACTGATTTTTAATGTTTCCTATGTTATTTTTTATGGTTCAGAATACTTCAAAGTGTTTCTGAAGTCTCTACAGTGTTCCACTGGTCTATTTGCCCAGCCCTGAATCAATACAGCATGGTTTTAATTACTATAGCTTTATAACAATCTAGTTGTCTCTAGTAGGGGCAAGTCGTTTTCAGAATTTCATATAAATGTGGGAATTAGTCAAGTTGATTATTTCTTAGATTAATTGTTGGAGACTTGATATCCTAATAATAGGGAATATTCCTTTCCATGAATGAGCTATATCTTGTCATTTATTTTGGTCTTATTTTATGTTTTTTACAATCTTCCTCAGAAGTATAATATGTATATATTACATTTTATAATTTAATATATTTCATAATTTTCCTAAGTATATTTTTAAAAATTTTCCTCATCAATATTCTGTTCATCTATACAGTACTTAGGAATAAATTTGACTAAATAATTAATTTTCAGGGTTGGGAAATTTTTGGTTATGAATTCAGCTCTTTTTTTCCTCTTGTTTATATTTTGGTATTTCATATTTTTGTTGCAATTTTCCTATTAAAGTTTTCCAATGTATTGGCATAAGTTTTTTCATAAGTAGCCTCAGAGCTTTAAAATCTTTACTTTGGTTATATCCCATGTAAATTCTTGATACTATTTTTTTCCCTTATCTTGTCATCATTTTTGCCTGCGGTGTGTCTATTAGCCTCTGCAAACCACCAGCTTTTGATTTTTTTGGTCATCTCTACTTTGTTTTCTTATTTTTTCTAAAGTATTTTCTTATTATGTTCCTCTATTTGCTTTTCTTGGGCTTATTTTATTGTTCTTTCCCTAGCTTCCTGATTTGAACCTTTAACCACTATTTTCAGTCATTTTAAAATAAAAGTTTAACCATAATTTTCCCCTTTAAGTGCAATTTTGCCATATCAAATATGTATTTTGATATTGTTGTACTTACATTGTCATCTAGTTCTAAATAATTTTTCCACATGAATTATATTATAATCAATTTCTGTTTCATATAGGTGAGAAAATGTTTTCATTTTTCTAAGATTTTAATCTAACTTAATGATGGGTTATTTATTGTAGAACTTGAATGGAAGCTAGCAGCAGTTGGAGCAATACAGACTGATTTGGAAGAAAACCCTAAAAAAGACATTGTAGATGTGATGATATCTTCAATTAGAAACACTTCTATTTATGATGACACTAATAGTTCAAACAGTGATGATGATACCAAATAGAGGGAAATAGTTAATAAATAGTTTTAAAGTGTTTATGTACTGAATGTTTAATTTGTTACTGCCTTTATAGTCAGAGATTAGAAAATTTATAGATTTATTTTATATTCAGTTTTATGTTATAATTATAGGTTAGACACCATTTCAAAACTTTCAGGTATTTCAGAAATTGCCACTAACAAAACCAGTATTTATACTGAACCCTCAATATTTTTCTTTGGCTTATCCTTTTTCTGACCCAGGTGGGACAAGAACTCTGACAGTACAAATCCCTTGTATGGCCTACTCCCTTCCAAAAAGAGGCCTATGAATAATGAAAGAGAACCATGAAATTGTATTTAATTTATGTTAATAAATCCTAGTCTATTATTTAGAGGCCCTGAGTAAAAATACTTAAATTTATGACCGTAAGCTTTTTCTTTGAAATTTCTTACCTATTAAAAAAATTAACCACTCAATATAAAAATGCAGTTTAAAGATTCTAGAAAGGACATAAGAAACATATCCACTTATTATTGTTGTTGTTAATAGTTCTATTAAGTTAGAAAATTAATAAGTACCATCATTAAGAGACTACAGAATCATTAGAACTGCATGACAAATTTCTAAATCAGAAGAAATGAGAAAAATATGTTGTGAAAGCTTACCTATGTTTTAATAGTAATCACAGAATAGTGCATGAGAAAACATAAAATATTAGGATACTGTAAAAGGCCTGCGGGATGTTTTATCTTGTTTTAATAACACACGCCATTTTTAGAGAAACTAAATAATCCATCATGCAATAGTTAAATATCAGATTTTATTCTATTTCGTTTGTATTGATGACCCACCATTCTGGTTACACTTGGTCACTGATTTTGTGAGAGAATCTAGGCTAAGTTTAAATGATTAGATTACAAAAATAAATTGGTGAGAATTGAGGCATTTTAACATGGAATCAAGAAAAGGCTCTTTGTTCTCTTCGGGGTAGGTTAGGATCATGTAAGCTGCCCAGAACGATGAAGAAGAAGAAAAGTTAAATACGGATTTGAGTAAGATAATGATAATTTGTTTCACTGGGTAGGCTAAAACCAAATGATCTAACTTTGGAAAGAATTAGGAAGACCCCTTTCTTCTGAGAGAGAAAGGAAGGGCTCTTGGAGACAGCTGTCTTGAACAACAATAAGAAAAAGAAAATAAATTAAAAAAATGAATAAAAAAAGAAAAGAAAAAGAAAAGAAGAGCTCTTGAAAATATACATTTTGGGGATGAAGGGAAGGAAAGTTGTGAAGAAAAGTTGGGAGTTGCTCACGAAGGTCTTTATTTTAGTATTCTGCACACAGATAAGTGAAATAATTACTTATAGTAGTCCAACTTCTGAAGTTCTCTTTAAAAAACAATTGGATAAATTTATATTCAAGATGAAATCATTGTGGAAATGAAAGGAAAAGCCATATAATCATAAACTTAAAATGTACTTTAATACCATCTAATGCATGTAAGTAAATATGAACAATATTTTTTCCTTCAATTGAAACCAAATGAAGAAATCATCCTTATAAATGCCATCCTTTCTTAGTAAATATATATTTATCTATTTTTAAATTGAAATTAACAGAGTACTAATAAATAGTATTTAAGATATCTGAATTTTTAAAAAATGCCTTTTTCCCTTTTAACTCTTAACTCAAATCCACCAGGTGGCAGCAAAAGTGTTTATCCATAAACACTGTTCATGAAGACTTAACATTGTAAAAATCCTGAAAATATAACATGTATGTAAGAGGTGGCTGATTGCGATTCCAGCCCCAGACTTTTTCAAATGTACTCACACACATATACATACACACAGACATTCTTCTAGCAGGTACTCCCGCCTGCTGACACAGGTCAGTACTACTTCCTTATGCTACTTCATTTATACATTCTTATTTAAGTAGGGTATAGATATTTGTTAGAATGTAGAGACATTATTTAACTTTAATATTGTGTTTCCCATTTAATGAATTTTAAAACAAAAGTGTTTTTTTAACTGCCAATATTCAACTGTTTTGACCTACAAAAATGGGTATTTCATATGTTCCAACTTAATATTTTTCTCTAATCTTTTGCTGCCAACTATGCTCTCTTAACACTCCCTTCCCTGCTTCATAGTGCCTTGTTTGTCAAAGAATCATCCTGGAAACAGCAGCACCCCAGGGAGCTTGTTAGAAATGCAGAATTTCTGGCCCCATCCTAGATGAACAGAAATGGGGGTCTTATTTAATGGGATACATAGGTGAGTAAGCAGCAGTGAGTGGCAAATCCCTGAAAGACATCTTGAATGTATTCTTTAATCTCTTCCTTCACACTCTTGGTTCCTAAAAGTGTATCTGGTTTAAAACTCCAATCTCAGATCCAAGGCATGTGTTCTTTGGCTGAATTTGTGACTCAGCAACTCTGAAGACAGAAGGTAGGGTTTGTTTAAAACCAATTCTTTGCTTCTGTTCTCAAGGCCCATTCCCTCTGGTGTGGGATGGAAGACTGGGAGGGAAATTAGGAAAGAAAAGGATACATTTCTCTCCACTGGTTAAGTACAATCTATATTGCATCTAAATGTTCATTCATTAATGGGTACACTGTGTTCTATTGTAGAAACTCTGAGACAGCCTCTTCACTGCATAGTTCCTTGACATGGAAGATCAGCCTACAGCTTTCTCTTTCTAAATCTCTCTCAGTTTCCAGTTTTAGGAGCATACCCAGACTCTTGCTGCTTAGAATTTCTTTCTGCCTTGGGTGTCAAGGTGGCTCAAACCTGGATGGCACTTTCTACACAGCATCAGTGGACCCAGGAGAAATGTACAAATCCTTGCCATGCCAAATTGTAGGCGTGCACATTGCTTTCCTCAGCCTCATCCCTGGCTAGCTGTTTCTCTCCAAGTCTCTATCCTTTTTATCAACAAATCTGCCAGGGGTGAGATGCCAGTCTCTCCTGGCAGATACCTCCAGTTTCTCTAGCTGATTCTATTGGAACCGTGTTTATTTAATGTGGAATGGGGTGGAGGATAAATTGAAAGGAAATAACAATACTGTCCAGGAACCTGACTGGCTCCAATGATTCTCTCATCCTCCTCTTCCCAAGTGTTCTGCTTACATGACCTGAGAGTGAGGGTCAGAGGTTTTGACTATGGTACCAAGTCATTTTGCTCAGCTTTTGTCCTGGTGAAAGGAGGTATCCGGCCCCAAATATTGGCAGATATTTAGAAGGAGAGTGGTATATGCTCTTTGTTCCCTGTTTTGGACCTCACTCATCATCCTCTTACATAGGTGTTACCTGTGTCTATTATAGTGTTACATGCTCTTGTGGGTCCTCAAATACTTGATTACTAACACAGTACTAGTATATCATATTTTACTGATTTCAGTTTATCTCTCCGTTGTACTTTAATGCACATTAGTAAGGCTACCACTTGAAAAAACTATAATTTGCCTACAATCATAATGATATAAAGGTGATCCTAAAAATCTTCTAGTATGTTTTACCTTTCATCTCATTTATTCATTCAATCATTCATTTACTTCAGGCACTGAAATGGATGCTGCATATATATGGTGAACAAAATACATGGTTTCTTGCCTCCTGGAGTTTGCCATGTGGTGGTGGGGAAGATAGTTAATAGATAAGAAAACAAATATCAAACAAATATACAAGATCTGTCCAGAAGGTATCCAGCCATGTCATATGAAAAATAAGAGACATTTACTGAAGAAGATACAAGATACAAGAAACATTGTACATAGGACAGTGATGCCTCAGTTCCCTTCAAAGTAGGCACCTTGGGACCTCACACACTTCTCCCAATCGCCATCAGCTGCCCCATAATGTTTTCCTGAATCTCATCAATGGTCTGAAATCTCTTCCCTTTCAAAGGTGATTTTAGTTTTGGAAAAAGACAGAAGTTGCAGGGCGCTGAATCTGGGCTGTAGGGGGACCGAGTCATCTGGGTGACTTGCTGTTTCGCCAAAAGTTCTGTAAGAGACATGATGCATAAGTGGGTGCATTTTCGTGATAAAGGTGCCAAACACCAGTTGCGCATAGCCACAGCCTTCTGAATCATACCGATAGTTTCTGTGAAGGGATGTTCAAGCTTAATGCAAAATTTGATGCAGATTCATTGCTCTACTTGCTCAGTCATTTTGAATGCAATAACCATACAGTCAGTACACATGCTCACTTAGGGGTGGGTGTCTACCACCCCCGATGACTAGTACAGCGAAGCCGTCACTGTTCACACATGTGCATTCCAGTCCACTCTCCTTGGCTGCTAGGTTACACCCATGTTGTGCAAACTGTTCTTATTTTATTAACAATGTCTGGACTTTTTCTAGACAGTCTTCGAATGTGTAATTTAAATTTCCATTATGGAGGAAACAGCACAACAACCCAGAATAACTGTGGGTACTACATGGGGAGGGGAAGGGTGAGGGGTGGGAAGGAGGCCTACTTAAATAGGGTAGTTAAAGCTTCGAGACATGAAGACTGAGGAGGAACCAACCATAAAAAAAGACATGAGGGTAGTGCAGGCAAGGGCATGTGTCAGAGCCTAGGAACAGAGAGAGATTAGCAAGGAACTGAAGGAAGTTCCTGGGTTGGGAGTGTCATGGAAAAAGGAAAAATGGTAGGACATGAGGTTGGAGAGATAGCAGACACTAGATCAAACATGCTGTAATGGCTAGGATTAAGAATTTGGATATTATGGTAAGCAAAGGGTTTTAAATGGGAACATGTAGTTTCATTTATCTTTTCAAAAGAATATTCTTCCTTCTCTGTGAAGAATAGATTGAAGGGGACATCCAAGATATTTGAGACACTCAAGAGGAGACTTCAGGTAGGCAACTGAACATATGTGTATGGAGCCCAAAGGAGAAGTATAGGCTGGAGTTACAAATATGTGCGTTGTTTCAACCATTCCTAGCGTTCCAGCAAAAATTGTTAAAACCTAAAATCACCATCCTTGCCACCCAACCTTTATGTAGCAATTTATGATTTACATGTGATCATCACGGTTCTGAGATACATATTTTTCAAACTTATAGATGAATACTCTTGGGCTCAGAAAAAGTATTTAACTTTCTTAGCTTAGTATTAGTCAGGATTTAAACCTAGATTTTTTTACTACAAAGCACATAAAAGCATCTCATATTATTATACTTCCCTTTTTCTAAAGGATCTAGAAAGAACATAAGTAATTGACTAAACCATGAAAATTTCTCTAAAAAAGAAAACTTACCTTATATTCCCTATTATGCATATCTTGAACTTCGTATGTTCCATTCACTTTAAACTATGGTGGTAAAACTGCCCTGGTTGGTGTTGCTCAGTGGGTTGGGCATCGTTCTGCAAACTGAAAGTCTGTAGATTCAATTCCTGGTCAGGGCACATGCCTGGTTGCAGGCCAGGTCCCCTGTTGGGGGTGAGTGATAGGCAACTGATCAATGTTTCTCTCCCTCTTTCTCCCTCCCTTCCCCTCTTTCTAAAAATTAAAAAAACCAAACAAAACTATGGTGGTAAAGCTAAGACTATCAATGAAAGGAAGGATGAGAGAAATAATATGAAAGAACAGAAAGTACTTTGTGACAGACAGGACATAGAGAACTCGGAAAATTTGAGCAAAAATGTAAGAATTACACAAAAAGGTACATCATTAATAATGGCTGACACTAACATGGGGTTTCTTATGTACCAGGTACAATTATATACAGGCATATGTCATCTACTGTATCTCCTCTCAATTATCTTGTGAGATGGTATCATTATTATCTTCATTTTACAAATGAGGGAACTGAAGAACTGAAGAGAAATAACTTGCTCAAAGTCATGCAGATATTAAGTGGTGGGGCTGGGATTTAAATCCTGGCAGTTTAGTTCCTGATTCTATACTCTTAACCATTGTGCTATCAAGGCATCTACTGGGGGAAGGGAGTTTGAAATGCTCAGTTTAAATAATAAGGCATACAAGAAGGAATGAACAGTGTATCTGAATTACATAAATTGTGTTTGAGGATTTATTTGGTGGGACAAACTTAGGATCTATGAAACTAGGAGGCAGGATTTTCCTTTTAGGGAAAAATGGAATCTGGAAGTTGGGAAAGTTGTTACAAATATGACCTAATTTTATTCTTGGAGAGAATAAGGGGAGAAAGGATAGGTTGTGAACTGAACCGTGGGAAATGTTTGAGTAGTAGCAGAGGACTGGCAGAAGAAAGAGGATTATCAACAGTTCTTGGTAAATGATTAAATACAGAAAGTGAGAGAGGAAAGAGTCAAAGATGAACATGATTAGACTCTGGTGACTAAGAGGACGATGGAACCATTAAAAAGGGCAAAGGTGTTTTTGATGATATATGCTCTAGATGATACAGAATTTGAAGTGGGATCACTTTCTAGAATAAAACCTAGACATCCACATCCTAAGAAATGCATTTAAACCCTTCTGTCTGGATGCAACCCACCTTATCAGTATAATGAACCTCGCTTTCTCTCTTGCTTACCAGCATCAGTTAGGAGTCATGATCACTAGTGACAAAAAGACCTCTCACTGGTCTAAGCAATAAAAGAAACACATGAATTTATTGACTAATTTAAGTAAATTTCCAGAGTTACATTGGACTCAGGACATCACATGCCTTCAGGCTAGATCTCCATCTTTGAATCTGGTTCTCCCTGTACCTCTCCCGGCTTCCTTCTTTCTCAGAATCCGAGTGAAAGATGGACTCAGGCCTCCATTATTTCAGACAAACCCATTAAGAAGAGAGGGAGCCCTTCTTGGTAACTCCAGCCCGTGGGAGAGGATTAACTTAAATATTCTTTCCGCTGGAGTCCTACCCCAGCCATATAGACTGAGTGCAGAAAGGATAGTTCCAAAGGAAATTATCAGAATAGGAAATGAATGCTGATCAGGCGAAAATGTGTACTAAAGTTTTTCTCTGATGGAGTAAGTTAACAAATCATGCTTTCCCACTCTCCCTTGAAAAATCCTCAGGTGAAGGATCGGGGATCTAAGTTCAACTTTTGTTTTGCCTTTTTTTTTTTTCTCTCTGAACACACAGCAAGAATTTGAAATGTTTACTGAAGTGAATGTTACCTGAAGGGAGGATTTTATAGCTAAAAGTTATTTTTTGAAACAAGCTGGCTTCTATTTCAAATCAAAAGGACATGCATTAAAACAAAAACTACTAGGAACTGGGACTGTAAAGACCTCTTTTCCCATAATTTACAACTATTGTAATATAATTTTACATGTGGACCAAATGCGTTTTCAGAATCAAGGGGAGTAATTTTCCTCTAAGGTAAGCAGAAAGTATTCACACGTTTTTCTAAGGAGGAAAGGGGCACTAATTTACTGCTGCACCCCTCATCTTCCCTTATTCTATTACTTGGCCTTAAGAGTTTGGGCCATATGCTAGTGGCCAAAGGGCACCAGAATATTACTTGGGATTGGACGTCGGTTCAGCCACCTTGGTACCTGAGTTCTGGTTAAGAAATAATTCAGTGCCAAGACTCAAATACAAGTAAAAGTTTATTTAGAAAGTCTCAGAGGTATAAGTGGTGAGCCAGCTGGTACGCAGGTGTGATCAGGAAACAAGTTACAGAGGCAAAAGTGGTTAGGGATTGTGTTGAAGGCCAGGTGAAAAACTTGAACACATCCTGACCTTTTGCCTCCCTCCAGCTAAGAGTGCCTGTCCTGTCTCCCCACACCTACCCACCAATAAGAAACGACCCAAGCCGTGTTCCCCGGGAGAGGGGTCAAGGCTGTGTTTCCAGAAGGCCAATCACCTTTGCAAACCTCTCGCCCAGCCCCAGGAAAGGAGACACAGGTGAGGCTGCTGGAGAGAGGAAAAAAACTTTCGCCCGCGAACACCCGAAAATATCTTCCCTGGTGTCTGCAAAGTCATTTCCTTTTCAAGGGAGAGAGGGTCCCGTTTTTGTCTTCCGGATCTTTCATCAAACAGGACGCTCTTTCTCGCTCCCCGCATCAAGAGCCGCCGCGACCTAACGCTGACGCTCCCCCGACCAGCCGCACCCTCCACCAGCCAGGCCCCGCCTCTCCCCGGCTTTCCAGTAACTGGTGCGGAGAAGGGGGTGCCACGAAGATCCCGGTTCTCCTCCGCCCCTGGCGGCGGTTGCGGACGGCGCACTCGGCCCTAGGCAGCAGGAGTCTCTCATCCCCTCAGCGCGGGATACCCTCCGCGGCTCCACGACGCCTAACGGAGCAAGTCGCATGCGCAAGGATACGCGCCGGGGAAAGGGAGAGTGAGGGGAGGGGCAAACGCAGAGCTCCGGCCATCCAAGCCCGCGGGGTCACTGACAACGCATGCGCCGGTAGGGAGCGCAATCACAGACACGGCTTGCGGCTACCGGCTTAAAAAAGGAAACCCCCGACAGCGAGAACAAGGAGGAAATCTGTCCGCCGACGCGTGCGCGCTCCCGGTGAGTGGCGCCTCACCGGGTGGGCCCGGGGCTTGACGTCCGCCGGTAGGCTTGCCAGGGTGGCGCATGCGTGCTCCTGGTGCCAGTGGAGGAGGGGGAAGGGAAGGGAGGGGGAGGAGGAGCGGGCGGCAGTAGCGGTGAAATTATTGGGGGTGAGTTGGGGGCGCCACTCACAACCCCAGGTGCAGCGCTGGAGCTGCAGTGTGTCCTGGTCGCAGCCAGGTTAGTGGTTCCAAGTGACCGCAGCCAGACTCCCGGGTGGGGGAGGGAAGAAGCCGGAGCCGCGGCTAGGCACACGAAGAGGGCGCGGGGTAGGCGAGGGAACGGGGGGCGGTGTGTGTGGGGTTGGGGGGCGGCGGCCAAGGGAGAGGAAGGCGGGAGCTGAAGTCCAAGTTCTGACTGTCTGTAGTGTGTCTCTTCCTGGGAGTTGGGGCGGAGGCCCGCCCTGTCTGCCGGGCCCTCCGAGGCAACCGGGGTTACCTGCGGGGCAGGGGCGGGATTGGGGTGCATGGCGGGGCCGGGTGGTTGGTGCACGCCCCGGGGCTGAGGCCGGTTCCGGCGGCAGAGCAGCCAGGGAAGCCGGAGACCCAGTGTCGAAAGGGCTGTTGCTTGGGACCCGCTAGGCCTTGTGACCCACTTTATTCCTGTCACAACTTGGGCACGTTTGGAGCGGCGCCCAATGGGGCGCCGGGGCGGCCAGCTCCGTCGGGGGAACCCCAGCCCTCCCGGCGCCCGACCCGCGCGCCACGGTTCGAGCGGCGATTGCCGCCGCCCTTGGACTGGTTCCGTTAGTGGTCGTGGTTCCGGGCTTGGTCCCTGGGGAGCGCGGCTCCGGGCTTTCGGCTCGAGCGACCGCGCGGGTTCGAGGGCTCCCGGCGCGGCGCCGGGTCTTCCTTCCGTGAACCCGCGCCTCTCCACTCCCTGTCACCGCCGCGGCTGGCGTTTCTAGATCTCTTTCCGCCTGCGAAGCAGGAGTCTCTGTAGCGGGTCCTGGTGCTCTGGCCCCTGGCGTGAAATTTCCAACACGTAGAGCCGCAGAGCTTATATTCTTGAGTGTGTTTTTGCTGGTGTAGTCGGCCTGTTGATTAAGTGAGCAGGATCCCTAAAAATAAAAGCCTAGGCCTCTGACCCGGCAGGTGAAAGATCGACTCAGGTGGTGGTTTCTTGTTACTAGAATGCCACATTTTGCGACTTTAAGGCTTTAAAAAAATAAATACCTGTTTTCTTTTACAGTGAATAAAAAGCACAAGAAATAAACTATTACTGTCGTTGCTGATTGGACTATTACGCTGATCCCCCAAGTCAAGGGGGGGAAAAAGGTAATATCACTTCATGTTGTATTTTAATTTGTTGTTTTAAGTAATAAGAGGAGCAAATTGTGGGATGTTTTTCCTCTGTCTGAGGAAAAAACAAACATTCTAAAAAGGATATAATTTTCTTTGAAAGCCGTTGAGAGTCCGCAAATCTGGTTTGTTTTAAAATCTTGTTAGGGGAAACAGAAACTAATTCAGGTGTTAAGTAGTTGTTGACTGACTAGAACAATAGCACACCATTAAAGGTTAGCCTGAAGAAAGTAGAAGGACGTTGTGATAGAACTAGTCATGATCATCTGCGAAAAGAAGAATGAGGAAGCTTTCTGTGTACTGACATGGAAAGATCTCCGAAGTATGTTATAAAGTGAAAAAAACAAGGTGTAGGGCAGTGTGAATGATATGCGACTTTATGTGTTAAGGGAGGGGTGGAATATGAGTATGAACTTGTGTTTGCTTTTCTAAGCCTAAGGGAGCTCTCGGAAGATACTGTAAGACTAGTATGGATGGGCGAGAGGGAGAAGTGATAGTCCGATGAGGGGAGGGTGGGAAACGAGATGTACACGGTGTCTTTAAAATATTTGCGACTGTATTATGGATTCATAATCTAGATGAAAACAAAATCCTTCCCTCCAAAATAATTTGCTCCGTGGTTTTTGTCTGTCAGCTTGTCTCCCTTTCCAAATTTATGGTGATTTTGGCCATTTTCAATATGACTGCTCCTAATATTTTTTAGGTAAATGAACCAAACTTTAAAGTTTAAATAAGCTTGGTTATGTACACATTAATTTTTAAGATGCTGAAGTCACAAATTTAACTTGTAAAGGTGTTAAGTCGTATTTTGCTTTGCTGAAATATGTTATGAAATTATTTACATTTGACATTATGGCTGGATTATGCTGTTTTCAGATTGTAGTTTGTCTCCCTTCCTGCCTTTTTTCAGGAGTCAGAGTTGTATAAAATTTTACTTTTTAAACCTCATAGTTGTCGTGACAAAACAGTTGAAGACTATGAACACTCCATTAAACTGATAATATAATTGATTGTCCAGGTAGTTTGCTTTTCATATTGGGAAACTTTTTTCTCTTGATGAAATAAGACATGAGTCCCAGTAAATTGTGAATGTCTCTGTGTGTGTGTGTGTATGTAATTCTTATGAAAAATTAAAACTGAGACCATGTTCTGGTGGTGCACAAAACAATTTTTTATGACTTATGGACTTGTAAACGTTTTATTAGGATTTTTTTTTTAAGTTTGGCCAGTTAGGTTTAATTTGAAAGGGGATTTGGTTATTAGAGTGGATATAAAATTGGGATGAGGTGCCTAATATTGTATAATCAAAGCAATGAATGTTGATTAGTGGGTGACATTTGCTATGAACATTTCTGTTCCTTTACCAGTAGTATTCTTTGTTATTTTACAGGATATGATAATTGTGTTATTTCTGTTTGATCTGTAGGTCTCTTGTAGCCATACTTCCACTAAGTGGCATTTATTTTTCCTTTGAATTCCATGTAGGTCTGTTTAATCTTTTTGAAAAAATAGAATCAGCATTTCAAAATACTGTTTTTAAAACCCAGAAGTAAATTGATGATCTTGCAGAACTAAAACAATACAGTGTACATATATAAAATAAGTGAAAAACTCCTTTTCATATGTGTACTTCTCACATCACTCCCCAGAGATAACTGCTGTTAACAGCGTTGTAAAACCTATATATTTTTTTACTGTGCATTTCCAAACATAGACTTTTCAGTCTTGAAAATTGAATTGTCTTGATTGATCATCTGCTCTGACCATTTGTCTCTCTGTGGGCCATGTTATTACCCCCAGGACAGGGAAATGATTTGGAGTATGTCAGAAGGTTTCACATGAGATATATCCTTAGGACATACATATCTCTTCACTTGTGAGGGTTCAGTCAGTTTGGGGTACATTTGGGGAGTTTGTAGTGAGGTCACTCTGGTATGAACTCTGATTTATATTGAATTCAGGAGAAAGACTTGAATTCAGTGGCTTCTGTAGGATTCTGGAGGCCACCTTCTAGGATTTTCACCTAGCCAGTAGCTCACAGCTTAAACTTTGATTTTTATTCTGTACTTCCAGACCACTGGAAAGTCCCTAGAGCCCTGACCAGCGTGGCTTAGTAAGTTGGGTGTTATTCTGCGAACAGAAAGGTTGATGGTTCGATTCCCGGTTAGGGCACATACCTGGGTTTCAGGCTGGTCCCTGGTTAGGGGCATATGAGAGGTGGCTGATTAATAAGTTTCTCCTACACATTGATGTTTCCCTCTCTCCCTTCCTTCCTTCGTCTGTTTCCTTTTCCCTCTCTCTAAAAAATAAATAAGTGAAATCTTAAAAAAAAAACAAACTAAGAAAGACAGACAGAAACTTAAAAAATAAAGTCCCTAGATTACATCAGCCTCTCCAGGTCCTCTGAAGTGAGCTGAGGCAGGCAGACTGTGTCCTTAACTAAGACACTGATTGACTTGTATGTAAGGAATCCATCCTTTGAAGGGAAAAACGGAGGAGCTCTTTTGGTCTGGTTTGTGCTTAACTGATAGCAGACAAGTAGTATGCATACTCACACCTACTCCCTCTTTCCTGCAGAAAAAACACTACTTTTCGAATACTTCCAGAAATTTTTGTTGTTGTTGTTGTTTGGTTTTAAACCAAGCTGCAGTGAATTACCAAGCCTTACTTCTTTTTAGCTGGTAGAGCCTGCAGAAAACTCAAGGTATATTAATCGAGACTCTTTACTAAGCTATGTGAGATACATAGAAAGATGGGTACAACTGACTGCTCTCTCAGTGTGTTTGAAATCTAGCTTGGTTAAATGAGTATGTACAAAATGACTGTAACACAGGATAGAATATGATAGACTCCAGAAGAAAAAATACATAAAGTTTTTAAGAGTGAGACTATTTCTAGCTCTTTATTATTGCAGCCATGGGGTTTAGAGAGTGAGTATATCTCACAATCTTTTAAATTGTTACGGAATGAAAGGACAAATTTTGAAAGCTCAAATCTTAGCCCCTAAGGAAGTAAGGAGTTAAGTTTCACCATTATAGCAGGCATTTTATGAGACTAATTGATAGTTTTTTGTTTTTTTACTCTATCCTATTAGAAAGAGCCATTTAATGTTTTATTTGATAATTATAGTACAGCCTCTCTTAGATTTCAGGATTGTTAGAAATATTAAATTAGGAAATTAATTCCGTCAATCACTATTGTCTACCATCTAATATGTCAGGCAGTGTTAGTATTCAAAGTAAATTGTTTCTTCCTATCACATTTCTTTTTTCTAAAGCACATATTTAATGTACCTTCTCCCCCACATTTTAACTTCTGGTGCTATGTTAAATTAAAATATTTATTTTAATATTTTAAACTATGAAAACAAACATGGTGAAAAGTCAGAGTTCCACATTACAGTAAAACTCCTTTTATTGCTTGTGTCAATTTCCTTCCAGTTCTTTGCAGATGCATAAAGTAAAAAATTTTAAGTGTAGTTTTTGTAGGCATTGTACCAGTGAATATTGCACTTTCTCCTTTTCTGAGTCTGAATTTCTAGATGAAGTTGTATGAATTATTTATAGAATACTTTTAAGTGTTAGGGCAATTATATCTTACTAATTGCCTATGATTTTTATAATAGCATTAGCATTTATAGATTGCTTTACAACCTTTGTTAGTCATTTTTATAGCTATGTTAGGTGTAATGTCTGCAAATCAGGTGGATAAAATAATATCTGTTTTTCTTTATGCTTTCTGATTATGCAAATGTTAAATTAACCTAAATGCACCCTCAAAAGTATAGTTTCAATTCTGAATTATTACTTGTTTTAGATGTGTATTTCACAAAGATGTAATTCTGCTTATTTTTGTAAATCTTTGAAATCTACAGAACGAAATGACTTGTAAAAATTGAATTTTTATGGATTGCTTTTGACTTTTATAGGATATTCTTTAGAATGTCACTTATGTGTTATTTTTAAGAAATGTTTTATTTTTTACATTAATAAAGTCAAATTGTATGACAAAAATTCCCATCATTTTCAAAGAGGTGCTTAATCAGGTGTTAAATTTAATCAGGTACTTTAAATTTTCAGTTCTCACCCGAAATTGAAAATGTAGGTTGATTCATGATTAAAGGTTTTAAAATATGTATTGAAATACATTTAGTATGTTTGAATTAAAATATGGCTTTAATGTAACAATTCTTCTTAATCTGTTTTATCCCCCGTTATAAAAATAGTGCATCCCTACTGTAGAAAACTTGAGAAACAAACAAAAAAGTTAATTAAAATTTTAAAATATCACTGGAAATCCCACTACAGAGATGCTATTGTAACTTTCTAGAATATTTTGTTTAGCCATTACATAAGTGCATGTACACTTACAGACAGACACATAATGTTACAAAATGGGCTCATAATGCATTCATTGTAGTGCAAACTATTCACTTAAAAGTCAATCTTGAATATTTTTATGTAGTATTTTTCTTCAACATGATTATTTTAATAACTATATTCTCTGTAATTTACTGGTCTTTTTTGTTGAACACTTAAGTTTTCAATTTTTAAAATGATGACATTTGTAGAAGTGATAGCATTAGTAATCATTTAAAGTTGATACTTGAAAAAAAATTTCAGTAGGATAATATTCAAAAGAATTAAAGTTTTTAAGTAGAATGATACTGAATTTGTATTAATAGCAGTTTAAACAAATTTTGTTGAAAAAATGGCATCAGTATATAATAAATTAGCTAACCGTGATTGATAATAATGAATCCAAGATTTTCATAATGGTGTCTTTTCTTTGTAAAGTATGTTTTACTTTGAGTTATTTTAAATTAACTTTGCATTTCATAAGAATAAGTCATTTGGATAGTAGTGCTCTTGAACAGACCTTCTAGGTAGGGTAGGAGTCTATGAAGCAGTCTGCACACAAAATTAAAATTTGAGCTCTAACATTTTTCACAGTAGTTAAATAAAGAGGTTTTTGAT